TATTCTGCCTTTGCTGCTAATGTGTGTGCTCAAGTTAGTGTCTTTGGAATAAATGACTCCTTTCCAAATAAACACGCTGAATTCTTAGAACTCATCTAAGCAGCAAAGGAAATCCCCTGAACGAACTGGGTCCGACGCAGGGGTTTGGAGTTACACGCTGAGAAACTTTGCTTGTTTAACAGAGAGGCTTTCTCTGGGGTAATAAAACTCTCACATTGCTGTGCCAGGGATTTTCCATTAGGTGTGTGTCAGCGGGTGGTGGGAGCTGCAGTTTCTGTGGCCGGTCATAGAAACGGAGTGAGATCACCCCAGAGAAGCCGACCACAGATCCCAGTAAGTCCACAACAGCAAGAAATGGGAAGAGAGCTGGGGGAAGGGAGGTTTCTATACAGCTAATGGGTCCCCCAAAGGTGTGTTTTTTTTTTTTTTCCCTTATGCATCCACTAATTAGCAGTCATGTTCCAGTCTGATAAAACAGTCCCAAGGCTTCTCCATTTTCCTTCAACCCAGGGGAAAGTCTCTCGCTAGACAGGCTAAGTGAGGCAGATGTACAGCTCCATCGCCCTCCTGCCTGCCTAAAATCCCAGAAGTAGCCCTGCAGAATGGAGACAAAGGGCAGTGCAATACAGCAGCCTCTACCCCTCCAGCCCTGGGGCTCTCTAGGGAATGCAATGGTCAAACCTCATACAATCCCCCAGTTATTTGTACTGTACTAGGCAGAAAGGGCTTCACCCAGACTCAAGGGAGCAGTCATTTAAGGTGGGGGTTCAGGACCCCAGTTCAGAAGATCCCATGGCTCATAAACCTGCAACTCACTGCTACTTATCGGTGAGGACAAAGAGCGAAGGACCTGGTTTCGTATCTGAGTCAGACCAAACCGGTAACTACAACAGCCTGGGTCACAACAGCACTATGAACATCTCTCTTAAAGTTAAAAGATACACTACGTTACGTCACCATGGGTTCTCATTGCTCATGTGTGGATTTGTACACATGGGATAGTGTGATGGGGAGGTATTTTTTTTTAAGGTGGATTTTTTAAGGAATACAAGGATACTCACTTCTGCCGCTAAGAGGTTTTTTCCCTAAAGAGAGAAAAAAATGGAACAGTTTTCCAAAGACAGCCTTCCTTTTGATGTAGTTTTCATTTTACATGACACTAGTTTGGGGATGTCAGTTAAGGTTAGTGGTCTTTAACCTTCTATATCTTGGTATTGCTTTCCTTACTAGTTGCAATCAACTACTGCAATAAGCCAACTGATGGGCCCCATAAAAGCACAGAGAGTTTGGCTATGAAATAGAAGACCGCATATTGACTGTAACTACCCCACTACTATCAGATTTCATCATGGTAATGCTAATGCACAGTAAACAGGCAACATTTCCCTGACAAGACCATGATACCATCATAGACCTCACTCTCAAATCAGGTCGATACCAATCTACAGTTTCATGATGTAAGATTTCAGAATGGGCCTGGTGCCTCCAAAGTACCAGAGTGGATTGACGAAGGTGACACAGAACTACCAAGGAATCACAGCACTTCTCCTAAAGCAGTGCTGGTCAGCTTGACCTTCAAAGATCATTTTCACTGCTCAAAACCACCACAATATCCCTCAGGACAAGTCCAATGGATACTTTTAGTAGCTCCTTCAGGAGTAGAAACACTGACCTGGTTGATTAATGATTCTCCCAAACACAACCTAACAAGACTGTGCAGTGTCTAGTCTGTGTGGGGGATGTTAAACGACTCCCGTCTCCTTTGCAGTCAAGTGCATGGGGTGTGCTTGTGGGGTGGGGGGTGAACGCTGGTTGCAACGGAGGTATATCCAGTCTTGTGAAATTTCAGGACTGCAAGTAAAAAGCCACTCCTGAAATTACATATGGAGTGATCTTAAGACTTGCTCTCTAAGAGGAATTTGTTCTTTAAACAGGAACCCAACAGAAAACTCTGCAGATCCCATTTATAGGTAACTGTGGAAAAGTCAAGGCAGAACCACTCATGTCCCTCCTGCAGTCCCCAAGAAACCAGAGACACGATGCGATGGAAAGGCACTACAGGTCCTCATCTTCACAGGAGGCCAAGGGAGGTAGCTGCTGAACTGGCTGGGTAATATCTCAAAGGGAGCTGAACACCTCCACCCCCCAGGTCCTCTTGACAGCCCCAGCATCCACTACTCCACATCCTGAGATGGCATCACAGGGGCCAATGGACATCCTTCATGTAAAGAGTGATGAGGGAAGAAACTGAGCCTGAGCACACCCCATGCATGACATTGAGTCCTGATCCTAAAGCCAGGTATGAATGTACTTCAAGGCTCAAGGAGTCTGCAAGCTGCTGTTTCCAAAACACTTCCCAGTGGGTAAACACAAGCAAAGCAACCATCCACTTTCATAGCTAGGGAGGAGACATCTTCAAATAAGAGAGACTTTGCAAGGGAAGTCAAGCTGCCCTGGATGCTCCAAGAGCCTCTGGTGGGTTCATCGGTTCGTTCCTTAAAAATAGGCAGTGGGTATGATGAAAATGTGAAATCTGTTTTTTCTGGTCTTCTCTGAAAGCCCAGAAACATGATTCTAGCCGGCAGGCTGGACAGCAGCAGGGAAAGTGGCAAACCTGGTCCTGGCAGTGCCATAAGCAATGTAGCCATGGGGGAAAGGCAGCTATGGGATTGGGGAAGCCAGAAGACTGTACAGAGGGAAAAGCAAGTGTTGAAAACAACAGTGAGAAAGACAAGAGCTCTAAAGAAATAAAAACTGAGGGGAAGAAGGAGCTAAAAGAGCTGCAGCAAGTTCACCTTTTGTGGGAACACTTGGATTTCTTTCTAATTGCCCTCCTTGGTTGAGGTAACAAAGCATGGAATGGCTCCAAAAGATTTGAAACTAACTGCATCCCACTGGAAGGATAGGTCTAGCCAGCAGCAGACCATGTGAAACCAATAAATAAGGGGAAAAATGAGACCAAAAGGAAATTTTTATGGAAAAAATAGTGAAATAACGTCTTGAGAATGGATGCACTTTTTGTAAAATATTTTCAAGAGATGGTCAGGAAAGGGGTCTGATCCATTTAGTATCTTGCACAAAGCACTAGGCACCCTGCAGATTCATCTGCAGGCTTGTTCCTTCACTGCAAGAAAACACCATCGCAGACACAAGCCACTGAGTCTGAACAATTTGACATCAGAAACCTTGTGGGAACTAGGCATGGACCACCAGGTATGAACCAAGCACCTCGGGAGAACAGCCTGTCTTACCTGACCTCTTAGCAGTGTGTATGCCATGTAATTTAGATATAAAATTTCTATCTGCGACCTGGTGTGTTACATTAGAGCCTGTGCTTGGCATTAAACAGCTACTATATTCTGTCTCACATCCAGAAGGATGGCTGCCTTAAGTCAGCGCTACAGGAACTTTAAAATAAAACATAGCATACGTTTAGGATGACTAATATGTTCCTTGATGCTGGCTTACACAGAACATGTTGGAAAAGTTGCTTTATTTTGTGTCTGTCTTTTAGAAAATGTGACTTCGCATCCGTTGTGCTGGGCTCAGGGATGCAGACAGCCTCCCCGCGTGAGCACAGGGATGTGGAGATGCAGCTCATCTCGGTGGGGGCAGCCGGGGAGCAGCCAGCACCGAGCACCCCCGCATCTCTCCCCAAAAAACCTCCACAGAACTGCTTTGCAAGGGGCAGGGTGATTTTCATTCACGTTAATGTTGAGTCTCTTTAATCATGTCTAGGAAGGAGTCCAAGATTTCCCCTGAAATGGCCGCACCTCCAAGACAACACAGTCGAGGGGAACAGAAGCTTCTCATGGGCTTTAAGGCAATAAAACCCAGTGCTCAGTTAGTCCCATGGGTCCTATCTGCTACAGGAAGGTGATGACAACATACCAAATTCATCCTATTTCTCAGTCAGTTTCTTTCTTGCCATTCCTTGGCTCCCTCCCTAAATCACTTCAGGTCATAACCATTACAGGTTGCCACTACTTTGGCTCTCTTTGCGTTCACCACCCACTGATGAACATGTACCTAAACCTCAGCTGGGCACATAGTGCCTAGGTCTAGGTGAGAAGTGAGTTCTGAACAAACAAGTAGGTTTCCTTTCCCAAAGCACTATTTTACTCTTTTGGTTAGCTAGTTTGATCATCTGCTAATGAAATATTTTAAAATAAAAGCAAACTTCAACTGGTAACAGCAGAAAACCACAACCACTGACTAATTAAAGCCTTTTTCTAACACACAAAAAAACCAAGACCACCCAATGGCAAGAGCAGAACAGATGAATCCTGCTAGGGATTTCTTACATTTCCTTGGCCCCCTCTGCGACACGCAGGAAGGATGATCTTTAATTGTATCCCATAGACACACTACTTATTAGCTGATTTTTTTATTTTTGAAAAGACAAACAGTAGCATTACACCAGTGCTGAATTAATGAAGAGTACTCTGATTTACCTGGAGCCGAGAATTAAGATAGACATCAAATTTAGATTATGCATCCATTCTGGTTTGAGCTACTTTGGTTGGGTGGGATCAAAATCACATGAATATAATCCTTTTCTTCCTCACCCAAAACCCAGGCATCAGAAGAGATCTCCCCAGATCCTCCTTATAATGGTAACAACCATTAGGAACATCATTTTCAGAAGGCTCTGGAAAGATTTAGAAGATACGGAGTACACTTCTGTCACATCAGAGACAGCTACAAGATGTATTTGTGCTCTTCAGCCGCCTTCACTCAACCACCCGCTCAGAAAAGAGATCGAGGTGCTCCCTAACTTAAAGACAACTCAAAAAAAAAAAAAAAAGAAAATTAATGCAGTCCAGAGTATCTACTGATCTCGAGGGCCAGTTTTTTACAGTGGCTGTAGCAGGTAAGCTGAAATCCAACTATTATCTGGCCTCCGCTCACCTCCATGTGGCACCTTCACTGACTTGCCATCATTGTTATCAGTAACTCCTATACAACTGTGACACAAAAAGAGAAGTAAAATGAGACACTTACCCTCCTTCAAAGATCTTGATCCTGACTGGCTCCCCTCTTTTGGTTACAAGAGCCTCTTCTTCTGATTTTCCTCTTTTATCCTCTTCCTTCTCAGCTCTAGTTATATCTTTTCGACCTTCATTAGAAAGGAGCGAAGGCAAATGAACCTATCTCCCCAAAAGAGCAAAACAATCAATGATTACATACAAAATCACTCTAAGACAGACACAGACCAAACAGCCTCAGAAAGAGCGAGCAACCTACCGCACATGCTGCTCCTGACCGCTAAGTGCAGTAATTAGGACATCCGCTTAACAAACAGGGCCTCTGCTTCTGGATTTTGAGCCCTGCTGGTTATGTTATATTTACTGTGACTGCTTACAAGTTTTTAAATCACTCCCTGCATATGGTGGTTCAATATTATGCAGCTCTTGCCAACTAGAAAATTGAGGCATAAAGAGAAGTGTCTTGGCTGGGGTCACTCTGAGCAGGTGGTAGAACCATGGGTCTGTGTTCCCAAATCCACTGCTCTGTCCTTGTCCTCTCTCTAACACATTTGTCTACAAAGGTCTAGAGAGGAGGCATCTATAGAATTCATATATTTAACCTCAACTTTTGGGTTTCCCCCACATACACACACATTCACACAAATGTGGACTTTAACCATCTAAACTTGATATAAATCACTTGACAGTCAAAGCGCTCGGGTGATTTCCTTTCACCGAAACCCTGTTGCCAAGGGTGCAGTACAGAGAAAGCCACAAAACCAACGGGAGAAAATAATCCTCAACCTCCCCAGATGTTCCAAGGGTAAAATTTGCTTTTTCACTGTTAAACTTGCCACTCCTTGTTTAGACCAAGGTTTAAGTCATGCACTGACATCTCATCTAGCATGGTCAATGTTATTTGTTATAGTATATGGTCCTAAACATTACAGCTGCCCCTCTAGCTCTGTACGATGCAAGGGGAGCTCTCCACATCCAGAATGAAATCTTGGGATGTCACCCTCTACAACCTAACAGTACAAATAGCAGGAGTCTCCAAAGCTCTGACAGAGGAAAGCAGGTTCGCCCTTTCACCCAGGTTACTTTTGACACAAGTGCAAGAATATCTTTGAAGTTCAGTCGAATTACTTGTATCCTCACTTTACACATAATTTATGGAAGCAGACTGAAGGCATTTGAGAGACCAGGGTTATTAGAGAGATTTTGGACTGAACAGAGCCGATGAACTGGCAGAAGTCTGAAGCAGAGCTGGTCACCCTTGACTCTTTACAGTTGCTGGAGAGAGTGGCAGCTCTCAAGGGTGATTCATCTGCCCAGCCTTAGACACCTATCTTAAGGGGGATGAATCACCCAAGAGGTGCCTCGTTGTCTCCCATGGTTATACAGGAAGCCAAAGAGTGACTAGTTCAAACGGAGACATGCAAAATTCAGTGGGATATAACGCAGCCTCCACAGCAGCATGCTGCTGGTACTACCATCAGATTCTCAGCAGGAGGAGGGATGGACTCACTGAAAAGTAACTTTGCAAAACAGAGGTCAAACATTTCAAATTTGCCCACTAATTTCAGGAGCTCATCTTAGAACACTAAATGCACTCGGGATTGCTCTTTGCCCTTGGGGCCAGCTCACGTAGATTAGCCCACATCCACACCATCAGACCCACATACCCTTCCTAGATGCTCCCTGGGAATGGTCCCTGTCATGTCCTATCTCCCTAAATGTGCACAGGAATTGCTTGGGAGAGGGCCATCAGCCCAGGACAGAACAGTGTCAGGAACCATTTTAACAATTTAACAACAGAAACAGTCTCAAGCTGGTGTCTCTGGGCATGGAGATGTCTGTGCTCAGAGGAAATCAGTGGCAGGAGACACACTGAGCACCTTCAAAAATTAAACCTTGGCTGTCGTGACTTCACCTCCTGATATGAGCTACACGCTCACAATGATGCTACTGATAACCTTCCCAGTTCAGTTCCTTATTTACTGAGGAATACAAAACAATTGACTTTCTAGATGTAGCATGAGGTTTATTTATTGCAACTTTTGAAAGCACAAAACATAGACAGATGAAAGGCACCAGAGAGAGCCAAAATCATACAGTCACTACTATCCCCTTTTACAATCTCGTTTAATTTACAAAGTGTGCAAGCCCGATACAGTGTAATTAGCCATCCC